ATTGAGCACCCCACTTCCCATTTCAAAGCTTTCAGCCTCAGGACCAGGATATAGGCTTCCTTGATGCAGCATGCCCGGAATCTAGGAACTACTTCCCAACTGCCTCTCTCACCAGACCTTTTCTGGACAGGCAACCACCCTCACTGTTATGCCATTCATTACAGTGTATCAGAAGTGTGGAAATATGGTTAAAACTGAAGATGAGGACTGTTCATGACCAGAGTGGTTTGGTAACTTAATTAGGGTCACAATGCTAGTGCTAGAATAGATGTGAACCCAGCTCTCATTCCAAAGTCCAAACCTTTTCCACTCTGCAATTTTCCCAGGGTTTGGGAAGTTGACTTTTATCAATTTTATTCATACAAACCCTAAGGGTTACACTCAATGTTGTCTTCAGTAACAATTCTAAAAAAAAGACCTACCCTGTTATGGGGGTACAATGTGAACCCCTCAGAGATTCACTATCCCTTTGCACAAAAAAGAAAAATGACCACTGGATTTAGCAACACCCCTCTGGGGTTGCTTCTAAAATCCATAAAATCAGTTTATTTTTAACTGAAAAAACATTTAAAATGTGTTTATGTCTCTAAAAGAATGCTGTCACATCTAAAGATTCTACAGTTATACTACAAAGCCTAATCTACCTAACCTAAATAACCCTTGTAACTTCATGCCATTTAAAATGTTATGAAAAGTATACAAAAATATTTTAAATCCCTTTAAAAATATTTTTTAAAAGTCCCAAGCAGTTTTTTATTTTTTACTGAATACTTCACATATCAAGTAGTCTAGTGTGATTAAGAGTTGAAACTGCCCTGGACGGTGTGGCTCAATTGGTGGGAGCATCCTCTCCTACACAGAAAGTGGTGGGTTTGGTTCCCAGTCAGGGCAACTACCCAGGCTTCGGGTTCCATCCTGGTCAGGGCACATGTGGGAGGCAACCCATCAATGATTCTCTCTCACACTGATCGATGTTTTTTTCTCTCCCTTCATTCCTCTCTCTAAAATCAAATACATACATATACATATATTATTTTTTTTTAAATAGAAATCTGCAGGGTTAACTGCCTAGGTTGAATCCATGTGTCACTATTAGGCAATTATTTAAATTATGTGCTTCAATATTCACATCTCTAAAATATGAATATTGTGCCCTAGCCAGTTTGGCTCAGTGGATAGAGTGTCAGTATGAGGATTGAAGGGACCCAAGTTCAATTCCAGCCAAGGGCACATGCCCAGGTTGCGGGCTCGATCCCCAGTAGGGAGTGTGCAGGAGGCAGCCAATCAATGATTCTCTCTCATCATTGATGTTTCTAGCTCTCCCTCTCCTTCCCTCTCTGAAATCAATAAAAATATGTTTAAAAAATAAAAAATATGAATATTGTAATATTTACGTAAGGTTTTGATGAAGAGTAAATAACACAAGAAAGTTAACAGTGGTGAATACATGGTAAAATGTCTAGATTATTGCATTCAAAATAAAGAAATTCAGGTTCTACTTCATTTTTCCTTTCAAATAGCAAACCAATTATGTCTCAACAAGGGTTGTTAGAGAAATAACCAGTGACATCTTTCAGCCTGCCTAACCTATTTTCTTCAAACTAAGTACATTTGCTCATTAATATACACAAAGAAAACTCATTTGAAAAACCAGGGCAAGTAGCCTCAGGGATAGGATCACTACTTTCTTCAAGAGATTAACTAACTATAAGTCTTCTAACTTGCACTTAGTCCCCATTATTAACCTTTCCCACAAAAGAGCCAGAAGGAAATTCAAAAGAATCAAATCTCTCTGTTCTCTTTAGAATTTCAACAGATAATCTAGATCTTAAACATGACCCAAAAAGGACCTGTATACTATGGTTAGTACTTGTCTATTTCCCAAATTTCATCTATCCTTTGCATTCTTTTTTTTTTGTAATATATTTTTATTGGTTTCAGAGAGGGAGAGGGAGATAGAAACATCAATTAGACAATCATTGTTCGGCTGTCTCCTGCACGCCCCCTACTGGGGATCGAGCCCACAACCCGGGCACGTGCCCTTGACCAGAATGGAACCCAGACCTTTCGGTATGCAGGCTGAGGCTCTATCCACTGAGCCAAACCAGCTAGGGCTTACTCTATGCATTCTTAGTGACTATTCTCCAGTAGTATTTGTAGTAGTTCTCAACGCTCTGGCCCTTTAAATATAGTTCATGCTGTGACCCAACCATAAAACTGCTGCTTTAAGGCCTAGTTTCCAACCACTCCCAATTATCTTCTTTCAGATATGATAATCCATGTACAGATCTCAATTTCATTAGCATCAGGCTCATACTTCCACATTGTAAGTTTCCCCTACTACAGCGGTTCTCAACCTGTGGGTCGCGACCCCTTTGGTGGTCGAACAATGCTTTTACAGGGGTCGCCTAAGACCATCCTGCATATCAGATATTTACATTACGAATATTAACAGTAGCAACATTAGTTATTAAGTAGCAACGAAAATAATTTTGGTTGGGTCACAACATGAGCAACTGTATTTAAAGGGCCAGAAGGTTGAGAACCACTGCCCTATCTCACCCTGTTTTTTCATTTCATGGATTTAGATTGTGAAATTGCTGTATGTTCACTTTATTTCTCTCAATCTATAATAATAAAAGTATAATATGCTAATTAGACCAGACGAAGCTGGGGCCAGAGGGAAGCCTAGGTCCCAGGTGCCAGCCAGCAGCCAGAGAGAAGCCCGGGTCCCGGGTGCCAGGGGGAAGCCGGTGCCGGCAGCCAGGGGAAGGAAGGCCTACTCTTGCTCAAATTTCGTGCATCAGGCCTCTAGTAGTCTACAATACCCAAGACAGTATGTTTTGCCAATATCTATATGCCTAAGGGGGATTTTCATAATAATCACTCAAATGTTTAATAAAATCGCTACTTGAATGTTCTACAATCATCTCAAAGATCAATGTTTAAATACCTTTCTCCTACAATCAACCCCTAATCCTTTTGTTTAATGTTTATCTAACTATCCTCATCCCAGAAGCTAGAATCCTAGGGGTCACTCCAAATCCCTCACTCTTCATATCACAACCACCACTACATGCTCCTAAATTTACCTCTCCTCTCTGATAACATTGCTTTTGACCAGGTCAGGTCATTCTTATTCCTTGTAGTTTAATATCTTCCTTTCCTCTAAGCCATATTCACACTATCAGAATGACATTTCTAAGGTAAATCTGTCATTCCCCAGTTTAGAATCTTTCAATAGCTCACCACTAGTTTCTGGATAAAATACAAACTCCTTGGCACAGCATTAAAATGTTATAATCTGGCCTCCTCTAAAATTCATTTCAATTCCCTTTCTCTTAGAAGCATTTCCTGACCACTTAATTAGTAGGTACCCATTTTTGCATGCTACTTTAGGTTCTGTACTTACCTCTAATCACATGACATATTCTCATTCATCTGTCTCCCTTCCTAGGTTGAGTCCTTGAAGAAGTATACCTTTTTCCTCAAAACCAGAACTTGCACCATTAAATAATGGATTTGTAAAATAAGGAATAAATTTATCTGAACCTATAGTGAACAGCAGCCATACAATGACAATGATACAGAACACCACAGTAGAACTAGATTTCATAGAATAGAGAGCATTAATAAAACTTGATCTTAGAGAAAAAAGCCTTCCAGATATCCTTAGGACATTAACTTTTTTCCATTCTGCTTTCCTTTAAGGCTACCTTCAGTGTTCACTGTAACTAGATTTTACCATTTCAGTACAACTAAGGGATTTATTCTAGCAACACAGCAGGGAGCATGCCTTTAAAAATCATCCTTTTTGCCCCAGCTCAAAACTATTAAAGTTAGTAATCAAAATATTGCACTATTGTCGGTAAAATATTACAGGTTGCAAATTTTTTAACTTTTTGGCTACTTATATCCTTATTAATCTCATATTATTCCTGTGAATAGAGCAGATTCATTCCTTCCTATCACCCTTGGGAACACACTTTATTTCCCAACATCTAACTGGCCCACAAGTCATTATTGAAAAAGAAGTCAACCCTAGATTTTCTGATTTGGATACAAAGATTAAACAGATTTATTTCCCTTTTAAAGCTTAAAGCCTTCCTAGCCCTTTGTTTTTAAAAACCTTCCAGTGAGATAGCATCTTAATATTATAGCAAACTTATGGTTTGATTCATGTTAAATTTTAATAAAAAGTCAATAAAATACAACACAAAATTGTTGTCACAAACCGAAGACTACTCCAAATGACAGAAAATTTTCACTAATTTGCAATAGTAAGAAAAATAACTGCTTTGTTGCTAATCATTAAAACAAGCCATTTTAGCCTTGGCCCGGTAGCTCAGTTGGTTGGAGCATCGCCCAATCCACCAAGGTTATGGGAGCTTCCATCCCCAGTCTAGGCACATATAAGAAGCAACCAATGAATGCATAAATAAGTGGAACAACAAATCCATCAAATTGGTTTTTCTCTCTCTCCTCTCTAAAAAATAATGTTTAATAATAAAAGCCACCCTAGCTGGTTTGGCTCAGTGGATAAAGGGTTGGCCTGTGGACTGAAGGATGCCATGTTCGATTCTGGTCAAGGGCACATGCCCAGGATGCAGGCTCAGTCCCCAGGTTAAGGGGCGTGCAGGAGGCAGCCGATCAATGATTCTCTCTCATCGGATTTTCTCTCTCTCTTTCCTTCTCCCTTCCTCTCTGAAACCAATAAAAATTTATTTTTTAAAAAGCCACTTTATTTTAAAGTATATTTAATCTTCAGCTGCTTTTTTCAATTATCAAAAATTTTCAGTCAGCCTAAGTTAACTAGGTACTTCTAATTCCATTAGTTTACAAAAAATTTAAGTGGCCTCCCTTGGAAACATCTCTTGATACAAACAAAAAGATTAACCCTAACATTTCCAAAAGCTATCACCTACACCTCCATCAACTAAACTTAGACTGGTGTATTTCCTAGTCTTCACAATGAAACCAGTGGACCTCACACCTCTTACCATCACCCAGGAAGGGTGTGCATCTGTTCCGAAGGCCCCCCTGGCTCCAGGTCATCCTGGCTGCCGTTGCTCCAGGCTGGGCATCCATGTTGCTGCAGCTTGTGGTTTGTGAGGGGTAGTGTACAGGAAAAGCAGGATGGGATTTCAAGGGGAACAGGAGGAAGATGGCTTTCTGGGAAAATGCCATCATCATCATAGGTGTTAAATAGTACCACACACATTTTATTGCAGCACAGTTTAAAAATTTAACAAATGAAAGATTAAAAATAAAAAAAATAAAAATAAAAAAATTAAAAATACAGACGTCCAGAGATGCTCTAAAACAGTTAAGTTAAAGATCAGGAAAAATAAGGTCACAGACTTAACAGCCAGTTCTTTTGAGCTTGGGGGAAGGGATGAGGGCAAGGGTGGGGTTGGGAGAGAAAAGGTTTAGGTGATCAATCCACTTAAAAATGCTAATGCCTTCACTTTCTCTCCCAAGATGGAAAACTCCAAGTCAATTAGGAGGCAGGAGAAATTCTTATGAACATTCAGAAAAACTCGACTTTAATCCGGTTAAAAATCATCAGTCATTATCATCATTATCATCACCATCATAAGTATAATAATAATAAATAATAGTAACTAGTAACAACAATAAAAAGGAAATCAGCGGAAAGTCAGGAAAAATGTAAAAAAAAATGGAATAACTTACTGTAGCTGAAGATCAAAAAAATCTCACTGTAAAAAAACAAAAATAAAAATAGCCCAGATTAGAAAAACGGGAGGTGCAAAAATGTCAAGTCAATAAAGTTCATTTCTTTTCTCTTTCCAAAAGCAGTTTCCACAAAAACCGCAAGGGTAAAGTTCTCAGTAGCAGACAAGCAAAGCCCTTTCCACATCATCAATCAATCTTAAAAATACACGAGGAAATAGAGAGGTCAGTTTATGAGAGGCTAAAAGGCTCCTCCTCCTCTAACCCAACTGCTGCAGAAAAAATAGAAATAGAAATTTTAAAAATTACATCTTAAATCCAAGTCCCGTTTTTGGAAACAATTAAAAAAAAAACACCTGTAAATTTGCTGTAGTGCACACCAAGTTGCATCATTATGTTTAAAATGCTCTTTATAAAATCAGTTTTGGAATGGGAATGTGTGTGTTCTGGAAGGGTGGGGAAGGGAGGTTAAAAATCAAAGCTGAGCTCCAGTGAGTAGGGATGGGGTTCGCCTTGCTGCCCTGTGAAAGGAGAAGGGACAGATTGAGTCAGAGTTCCTCAGAAATGTTGTGCCCTAAACCCCCAAGACAGAAACATCTGTCCATTGCATCTAACACATTTTGGTAAAGCATAACATTCCACTGGGATGGGGAGAGCCTCTATAGAATCACTTCTACCAGTGATTGTCTTGACAATTCCTCAACATTAGTAGGTAACTAGAATTATCAAAATAAGTGCATGTATTCCCTTAAGGGTCTCAAAAAAGGGGTTAAGTTCAAACATTCACCTTGATAACAGTTTGGGCAAGGAATATATATATATATATATATATATATAAATAATCAAGCCAACAGAGGTAAAGTGAGCAAATCTCAAGAATGAAAGATTAATGAAGGAAAGCAAATTCATGGCTTTTTAAATTTTAAGTCCATGTAATTTTTCCTGTAACAGACTGAAGGAGAAAGGTCTACTATGAAGATACATAAGAGAGAAACACTGATTCTCAAAACCAATTAAGTGAACAAACCACAAGACCTAGTAAGTTCTACAGCAAGAAAAGATGCTTTAAACAAGGAACACATTATTTATTCACTGACAGAATGAAAAACGAAAGATGAAGGGAAAGATAATGGCTACTGAATATTTAGTGTCATAAAATAGGTGAAAAATTATGGTCCTTAAGTTTCAGTGGTCTATATGTAATCAGTCGTCACTAATTTATAAGCAAGTATACATAGCTAATTCAAAGAATCTTATATATAACAAAAAAATAACATGACTGGCTGGCTATCTCATCAGCAGAAACAAGATCTGCAATTAGACTGTAGGTCTTTGAGTAAATAAGAATGGACTAGTTGCATTCACATTTCAATATTCAGCCAGGAGGTTTTATTCTCATCTCTAAATGTCAGTAACCTGAAAAATTTTAAACTGACTTTGAAAGTCTTTCATAAGTCAACTATATATGAATGACTACAACAAGAGCAGAAGTACAGTAATTCTAAAATTTAAACTAAATTTTTTTTAAGCAGACCAGTGTAGGCATGACATGTAAGTTACTGGTATACTTGTTTTCATGTGTTAAATTGTACAAATGCACAAACTACAGAAAAAGCTGTAGAAAAATGTACATCCTTTTAAATGTTACCTCCTTCGACTCAGTGTTTGGAAAGAATAGTCAATTTTTTTTTTCTTAGAGTCATAGCCTGAATCTGGTACTTAAAATTTTCAGGATATGTTAACATAACTCTGTGGCTCATCTATAAACAAATCCTTTGCACGTGTCAAGACATAACATTGCCCAGCCAGTGTGGCTCAATGGTTAAGTACTGACCTATGAACCAGGTCAACATTCAATTCCAGGTTGGGGTACATGCCTGGATTGCAGGCTCAACCCCCAGTTGGGGGCCCTGAAGAAGGCAGCTGATCAATGATTCTCTCTCATCATTGATGTTTCTCTTTTCTCTCTCCCCCTCTCTCTCTTAACTCTCTAAAATCAATAAAAATATATTATTTTTTAAAAGACAAACTTAAAAAGCTGTTAATATAAGACATCTTTCAAAGAAGTTAAGATGTCTCCCAAGATGTTATAAATTGAGTAGCTATCACTCATTAAAAAAACCCCACTATTTTAGCTAATTCCAATGCTTTGTAATTAGTAGTATAGCTAAATTATACTGTAGTTTGACAATCCTGAGTGGTTTGGATCCCTTCTAAAGGGGTATTCTCAAAGGGAGGTCTGACAACTAGTATCACATGGCACTTATTAGGAATGCAAATGATGGGGCCCATTCCAGACTGACTTAATTATAAACTCTGGGGCTAGAGAGCCTAGCAATGTTTTAACTAGCCCTCTTGCTGATTCTGATGTCAGCTCATGTTTAGGGACTGTGAAGAGTTTAATGAGGAACCTCTATCCCCCTAGTTAAGATACATTCTTTATAAACAAAGTGTCTTATCCTTCCAGTGTACTGACAACAGGTTTAAGCAGCAAGGCTTTGAATGTATTCCTGATATAATATATATCCAAGAAAATTATAACTTATCATAGTAAATACACCAAGGAATTTAAAAAACAGTCCAATAGTAATCCTTTTTCCCTTTACAGCCCCCACATTTTCAGTATCTCAGATAATACAAGAAGTTATGCTGTATCTAGTAGTTCTGGTTCTTACCAGTCAATTCTCTGCTAAATCTAATCATGTACAAAACCATAATCTTCCCTGATCCCAATGAGAATGAATGAGTATACATATTAAGTATGAGCACATACAAATTTGTCCCAAAAGACAACTACTAAAAAATTACTTGCCCGGCAGGCATGGCTCAGTGGTTGAGCATTGACCTATGAACCAGGAGGTCATGGTTCCATTCCTGGTCAGGGCACAGGCCTGGGTTGTGGGCTCCATCCCCAGTAGGGGGCGTGCAGGAGGCAGCCAATCAATGATTCTCATCATTGATATTTCTATCCCTCTATCCTTCTCCCTTCCTCTATAAAATCAATAAAAACTTGAAAGAAAAATCACTTAGAAGACTGAAATACTTTCATTAACAGCAGTTAACATTGATATACAAAAAAACTTCTAATCGTAAACTATTTCTGTATCTTTTCAAAACTTCCAGAAATAAACGAGTTCTAGAAATCAGAAATCTAGCGATTTCTATTTTAATTTCTGATTAGATTTCAATTTTATTTCTATAACTCATCTATTACATATTTAACTAATATCTAAATAGTTTTAACTCATTTGCCCGACACAGGTAATAATAGCATTGGGGTAGGGGGTGTAAAATCCAGTTCTCTTAACTCCTAGAGCCTAGGAGTTAAGATTTCTTCAACTGTTACACTCCCCAGTTAACATCTCACAATTTCACAAGTTAAAATAATCTTTAAGATTTGAATAATTAGCTATTTTGGAGCTTATTCCTTGCTTATTTCTAAGAGAAACTCCATCCAAAACAAGGTTGGTTGCCTGCTATGTGAAACTCTCTAGAGACCTAATTACAAATATAAGCTATGTTTAAAGTCTCTACTGAAGGAATAGAAACCACCACCAAGCATTCCTATGTCATCAGCATAGGAAACAAAAAGGTCAGATCTGCAATTTAGTCACGATCAGGCAGCTGATCGATGTTTCTCTCTCATCAATGTTTCTAACTCTCTCTCCCTTCCTCTCCTTCTTAAACTCCTCCTCTCTAGCAAATATATAAATGTTCTAATGCCTACGTATTTGAAAAGATATCTAGAAACGTTAAGATATTAATTCTGTGGCCAAATCATTCCAGATTAACTCTAAGAATTGTTACCTTGGTACATTTTGACTTAACACATCCAGTGCCCTTCAATTAATTTCAACTCATCAGTAACTTCTTAAATATTAATTCCTGACATTCTTTATTTGCCAACAATATTTTTATTAGGTAAATGATTTCCTAAATTAAGCAATCACCGCCCTTAACTCATTTCTAACAATTCTGCAGTAATAAACTTTAGTTTTAAGCCCGTGTATTAAATAATATACAAATTTAGGCTTAAAAAAAAAGAAATGTTTTTGATTCCTATTACATTATCTACAATGGTGAGGAATCAACAAATGCATGGGTATCTAGAATAATAGTACTTTTATTTCCTATCAAGTAGGTTTCTTCAGGAATAAATTTACCTTGCAGTACTGGTTTATGCCTTGCTTACTAACGTTAGTTTGTGAGATTAACACATTATGAAAATTAAAATCAACTAAATCTTACACAATAAATAGCAATTTGGTTTTTTTTAAAATCTTTATTGTTGAAAGTGTGCCCCCCCCCCTTTTCCCCTAATAAACCCCTTCTAGCCTGCCTTACCCCCTAAATAGCGATTTCTTGGATAAGGAAACCTCTGCTATTTTTATAAACTTAGAAAAAAATTTTAATAAAGGTCAGGACATGGCAAATAGTAGGCACATTGAAATTTGCTTAATAAAAAAAGTACGTAGTTATGAATCTTGCCAGTTTAGATGGTCTGGAAAACTAATGCCAGAATATCCTGAAAATTAGACTTGATCATCTTGGAACACTGTATTAGTAACAAATGCAATTCTCCTAAATATTTTTTCCCAAGTGCAGTCTGGGAAATTTCAGGTACTGCTAGTGGTTGCTGTAATTAGGTTCTTGTAAAGATTCAAATTCAGTACTTAGTGCCTATTATTCCTATAGCTAACCTAGCGGTTAAATTCCTACTTCCGCTCCTGATTCAATATAACCCTGGCAACCAACATTCTTATACCTCTATTTCTTTCCAAGAAAGACAGTAATACCTACCTCAAGGAAAATTCCACTAACTTAAATATATTTCAAGTGATTTATAACCTGCAGATAAAAAGTCAGCTTTAATTAGTAGTTAATATATGAGATTACAAGCTTTAAAAAAAAATAAGTGAAAATAAATACTTCGCGGTCCATCCTTTTCTCAGAGAGGTAAAATAAAAGTAATCTATAAAATACTAAATCCACTGTTATAACATTTATTATTCTTATGCCCTGCGGTATGCTCCAGGATTGAGAGACACGCGGTAAAATGTCTACTTGGTAATCCTTCCCCCAAACCCCGCCCAATTTATAAATTTAACAAGAGGCACCAGCACTGTATTAACTTCAACTATATGAACGAGCATGTCGATCTTCCCTTTCATGTCCCTCTTGGAGACCTCATGGTCGTAAAAAAATGAAAGGAAAGCAGCCGTTAACCCAGCAAGAGAACGAAAAAAGGACACTTCCCCTGCTGATCGTGGCCTAGAGGACGCCAGGTTAAATCTACACAAGGGCTGAGGCCTACAAAACTCTCTCCCGCACAGGACCTAACCCCCCACCGCCAAAGAGAATAAATGGGGGCCTAGTTAGCGAGAAAAGGGTTGCCTCGTCTTCTCTCCCACATCCCCTCGCGCTCACAGGGGAACCCAGCGCCTCCCCCTGCATCTATCTCCTCCACTTACCTGGTGGGAAAAGGGAGAAGAGATTCGATTCTGAATCTCCTACTCCCGGGTTCTACGTGGAGAAGCCGACTACTGCTCGAGGTCAGCAACGCGGCCGCAACCGCTCTGCCTTCGTCTCTTCACAAAATGGCCCCCGAGTCTCCTCTGCCGCCGAGGCGAAGGCTTAGCCCCCGCCCCACTACTGAGACTCTTCCTATTGGCTGCGATTTTTCTCGCTCCCGCTTCTAATTAGACAATTCTACCGCTCTTCACAATTCTGTCCAATCACAATAAGCAGTGGGTTAGACTAAGCAAAAGAATTTCCACATGCGTGAGAGGAACTAGTTTGTAACTGGTTATTTTTCCTGTCGTTCATCTCCTGAGAAATGCTTATTGGCCACTCTAGCTGAGGAAGCGCTGGGTGGAAACTCGCCTTTGTATCGCGTACTGCTTCACATCCGGGTATCCGGGAGGTCTGATTGACGGCCGCCCTACCCTATCTCTGCTCCTTAGAGCGCCTAATGAAAGGACCGCCCACATCTTGGAATTCCCGCTGCGCCAGGGCGGGGAGGGAGGAAGGGATTTCCGCTGGTAGCGGGCTCTGGGAGCATCTGCCCTAGCCTCGGGCCTGAGAATAAAGAGAAACGCCAAGTGGATCATCCAGTGTTCTGTGTGGATAAAGAAATGAGTTATTTGGGAGCGAGGAGGTAGCCATGAAGACTCAGCCTTGCGGTTTTTCCAACCTCAGATTCCTTCTCAGCTGCAGACTGGAATGTCAGTTCCCTCCTGGACAATTTCACTTGTCTTAGCCTGTCCAGCCCGTCCTCAGACAACCCTTATCTCACCCAGTCCAAATAACTTCCTTGTTACTCTCCATCACAAGAGTCAAGGAAGTCTAAAATGCAAGGCCTGTAATTCCCATTGTCTGACCCCGTCATCTCACTAATACCCTACACGTGCCAACCAAATTGGCCTACCCCATTGGTTTCCCCCTCGCCCATCCTAATCTGGGCCCTAGTTTACCTTCATCCTGAAATGGCCCGTCTCCAACCTATTACACTTCATTTTAGACAAAAGGTGGGGAAGCAGCCTTGACTGGTTTGGCTCAGTGGATAGAGCGTCGGCCTGCGGACTGAAGGGTCCCAGGTTCCATTCCGGTCAAGGGCATGTACCTGGGTTGCGGGCACATCCCCAGTGGGGAGTGTGCAGGAGGCAGCTGATCGATGTTTCTCTCTCATCGATGTTTCTAGCTCTCTATCCCTCTCTGTAAAAAGTCAATAAAATATATATATTTTTAAATGTGGATACCGGTTAAAGATGCGGATTAACTGATGGATTTTTTTTTTTTAAAGGTGGAGAAGCAATCCCCTCTGTTTATAGTATAGCAGTTGTGCAGGTGGTGGAACAGCTCTACTAATGTTATGGGTTCACTTCAGTGAGATAGACCACCGACTCAGAATTTAAATTTTATTATTAAATTTTGTGGAGGCCCAGGGAAAAATGTGTCTTTCAAATTCTGGGCCCCCCCAATATGGAGGAAACTCTCTTTATTTATACTTTTTCCAGTCCTTTGTCTCCCAAAAATGGCCTGCGTGCTGGGAAGGAGCCATGAGACCATATCTCAAGGCCTGGCCTGATGTCAGTCAGTACCTTCCTATCTATGTGTTTTAGGAACAGACAGCACAGCATGACCCGTCTGGCTGAAGCGCCAGATATGCAGCCCAGTACACTAAGAACCGTGGGGGGGGGGGGGGGGGGGGGATGTTCACTTACCCAATCAGCATTAATTGATCAAATACAGTAAGCAAGGCTTGGGAGATATTATGAAGATTAATACACAGTCCTTGCCCTCAAGCAACTCAATTTAAGAAAAAAGATGGACATCTTTAAAAAATGACTGTAAGGTAGTTTTTAATCGTGTTTAATAAATACAGTAGCCTGAGAATACAATTAATTGAACTGAGACAAGATAAAAAATCTTCAATAAGGAGATGTTTTGAAGCTCAAAGTATATTTTAAGCTTAGAGAATAGCTTATATACAAAACAAGACAGATAAAAAACCATGGTAAATTCAAAATTTTTAATTAATTTAGTAAGGCTGGAATGTATTGTGCATGTAAGGAATTGTAGAAAATGTCTGTCAGTTCTTAAAGAGCCACATTTGCACTGCTCTAGAATTTGGACTTTATTCCATGCAATGGGCACTCATTAAAAACTTGTAAGAGCCGAAACCGGTTTGGCTCAGTGGATAGAGCATCGGCCTGCGGACTGAAGGGTCCCAGGTTCGATTCCAGTCAAGGGCATGTACCTGGGTTGTGGGCACATCCCCAGTAGGAGATGTGCAGGAGGCAGCTGATCGATGTTTCTCTCTCATCAATGTTTCTAACTCTCTCTCTCCCTTCCTCTCTGTAAAAAATCAATAAAATATATATTAAAAAAAATTGTAAGAAAAGGTTAAAAAAAAAAAAAGGACTCCTTATGGTTAACTGGGCCCAAATTTATAATCAAGGTCTAGCAGCTAGCTGTTGTTTATATGGGGCCTTTCATACACACTGCATTTCAGGGAAAAACCACAAACTAGGCTGCCAAGCTTCCTGCACTGTGTTCCTGCCATCTGAGCTGAGCCTTATAAAATAGCTCCTGGTATTACATTTGGACCCATGAGACTCAGACCTTCTCATTCCAATTGGAGCTATGCAGTTATACCAGCCGTGGGCAAACTACGGCCCGCGGGCCGGATCCAGCCCATTTGAAATGAATAAAACTAAAAAACAAAAAGACCGTACCCTTTTATGTAATGATGTTTACTTTGAATTTATATTAGTTCACACAAACACTCCATCCATGCTTTTGTTCCGGCCCTCCGGTCCAGTTTAAGAACCCATTGTGGTCCTCGAGTCAAAAAGTTTGCCCACCCCTGCGTTATACCCTCATTTTCATCTTTATAGACTAATCTGAGCAGCTCAATAATGTCACTCAGAATGGGCAATTCTGGCCCTAACTGATTTGGCTCAGTGGATAGAGCGTCGGCCTGCGGACTGAAGGGTCCCAGGTTCGATTCTGGTCAGGGGCATGTACCTTGGTTGTGGGCACATCCCCAGTAGGGGGTGTGCAGGAGGCAGCTGATTGATGTTTCTCTCTCATCGATGTTTCTAACTCTCTATCCCTCTCCCTTCCTCTCTCTAAAAAATCAATAAAATATATTTTTTAAAAAAGAATGGGCAATTCTGACCAATCACAACAGTGCTATTGGGACCAATCAAACAGTTTGGAGTTGGAGTCCTCATTTGCATAGAAATGTGCCAATGGGACTACGGGAAGGAACTCCTCTCTATGTAAGCCAGCTTCCCCTCAGTCCAGTAGAATACACTTTCAGCGGCATTTCCTCTGCTTGGACTGTAACAGGTGCTGTAACACCTCAGCTGCTTCACTTGAATAAAGTCTCTCTTCACTGCACCCCAAATTTGGGTGTCCTGTTGGCATTGGATTGATGACAGTGAACTTGATTGACAACCTTTTTCAGTTGTGTGCATTTCTCTATTGTTTCAATTTTTGCCACATGCATGTATGTATCGCTTTAGGCTACTTTATTTCCTTTTAACTATATGTGTTTATTGATTTGAGAGAGAGAGTAAGGGAGAGGGGTAGAGAGATAGAAACATCAATGAGAAGTGTGGGAAACCACCTATTGTCTTCACTAGCAGAGAGGTGTAGACAGAGAACCTGGAAGGCTGGTGACCTTTGAAGCCCTAGCCAAGGTCAGAGCTGTGCACCACCTCTTTTAATCCAGGTAATGGTAGCTGAAGCAACCACCCCACCTTTAATCATGTAAATCCTTATTGATAAGAATAAATCTGTTTCACTGGAACCTCCCTGCCTAAGGGCTATACTATGGGTGGATCCTGAACCAGATAAAAGGTTGGTGCAGCCTGAGACCAGGGGAAGTCTTTCCTCTTGAGTTGGACTTACCCGCCTGGCCCCCCAATATTTCCAAATTATCTCTTGTCTTTTCTCTTTCATTTGTGTGAGGCTCCTCTTCCAGATCCTGAACCCTGAACCACGCGAGACGTGGAGGGAAACATTTACAACAGAGAAGGAAATATTGGTCAGTTATTCTCTGTTGTGCCCAGATTTCATGATTCCCAAGAACCCACAGGGAGCCAGCGAGTCCGATGCAAAAGCAAGAGTCATTCATTTCAAACCTAGGTTTGGCTCCCCTGCCACACTCACCAATGCAACGGTAAGCTCCAGTGGCCGAGAGAGAGAAAACTCTGTGGAGAGAGGTTTTATAGCGGTTTGGGGTAAGGGGAGGAGAAAGGACTGTGGGCCCTGCCGATTGGCCAGGGGCGAGTACACAGGATGTGGTCATAGTGATGGCGAGTACACAGGATGTGGTCATAGTGATGGCGTGATGACTGCTGGCTCCTAACTGCTTGCCTGCCTGCTGGCCTTGACTATCTTCTGGGAAGAAGCTTGCTGAGCACATCTCCAAGTTAAGATGAAGGGCATAGCCCTTACCCTGGGGCAAGGTGGAGGGCGTAGTCCTCGCCCTTTCATTCTCCATACGCCTCCTACTGGGGATTGAGCCCTTAACCCAGGAATGTGCCCCAACTGGGAATCGAATTAAGGGCCTTTTGGTTCATGGGTTGTTGCTCAACCACTGAGCCACACTGGACAGGTGCTTTAGCCTACTTTAAAAGGAAAAATGAAAAGCATGTAAGAAAGAATATACTAAAATATTAATAATGGTTCTCTCCTGGTAGGGAAATTACATGTGCTTTTTTGTGTATGTGCTTTTCTTTATTTTTCAAATTGTCAACTTTGAACAAGTAATCAAAGGGAAACATCCTTAAAATGCTTAAAGCTCGCCCTGACTGGTTTGGCTCAATGGATAGAGCCTCGGCCTGCAGACTGAAAGGTCCTAGGTTTGATTCCGGTCAAGTGCATGTACCTTGGTTGTGGGCACATCCCCAGTAGGAGGTGTGCAGGAAGCAGCTGATCGATGCGTCTCTCTCATCGATGTTTCTAACTCTCTCTCTTCCTCTCTGTAAAAAATCAATAAAATATATATATATTTTAAAAAATGCTTAAAGCTCAGCTCAATTACCATATTGCAGTTCATTTAAAAGTACCTCATAGCACTGTGGTTAACTTTACACTCAG